TGAAAGTGAAATGCTTCTCTCTCCCAGGGCAAATTTCAGAGCTCCATGCATCAAAACACATGTATGTTCTCATGATGGCGTGCCACTAAGAATAAAAAAAGAAGCATTGTTTTCCATCAGCTTTTTTGTTTGTATATACTTTTCTTTCAGTGCCCAATAGTGACATGAAACTTACTTAGCCAACCAGACACCACACCAAGTAATTGTGAAACCATTCTTATGGAAGTTTTAATAAAATACCTGAACTGACAAAGCATGGTTTGTGATCCATTAGAGAATTGGATTCACAATCATGGTTTGGTTTGAAATGGTCTGGCAAGCCATTGTGCTAAATATGGACTGGTGCAGTGGCTGAATGGACAAACTGGATTTAGCTACAACCACTCCAACTCCAGCTAGATTCACTCCTGTCTTCATGGTCTACTTATGGAACAAGCTAGACAAAAAACAAAAGCATACAACGTATAACTGGATGTTTGGAAGCTCAAACCATGGCTATCACACCATGGCTATCGTTGCTTGACTTGAACCATAGCAACTCTTGGTAAATGAAATAGATACCTTATTTGCTTGCAACACGCCCACACACACACAGATTTCACATCCCAGCAATATGGCTACAGACATCAGTATCTTTAGAAGGGCTCCACCCAACCCCATCCGCAACAGCACTTCTCCAGAGCAATTCCAATCAACACAGTTGGGATTTGGAAGTAAAAGGGAATAGCCATTGCTGCATTAAATAACCCTCTTTCAATGCTCTGCCCATTACTGTAGGCCCTCAGAGGATAAATCTGAGGAGGGGTTAGATTTTTGGTTTTTTAAAAAAAATCAAGTATTTTCAACACCATCATGCAAGATGTGCTTTCCAAGAGCTGGAAGGGTAACTCTGTTAAACCAAATTCTGAAGATGCCTTCTTTAAAAGAGAAAAGAAAGGAAATGACTATGAAGAAATTCCTCGGCGTTGATCTTGTACAATACAGAAAAAGAAACCATAACGCAAGCTAGAGATTGTCTACTCCATGCCTACTGTGCCCTTTCCAAGTTCCGCCTCTATCATCTATTCCAGCACCACCACTGACCAGTAGTTCCATGAATGTATATTTAAAAATATCAATAAGATGTGGACTCTACTATACACAGGTGACAATCCATATAAGTGGTAATTCATATATCACAACACTATTAGACCGATCCAAAGCACCCCTACATGAAAACATTTTACTTTCATTGCTAGGTACTGAACACAGCCTACCTTTAAAAGTTATCCACTGAGTGTCAGGAACATAATCTTTGAGAAAGCAAGTATTTTTCACCCCCTCAAACCCACAACTAGCAATTATATAACAGTGCCTACCTAGAAGTTACACTGAAACATGAATTCTTGTAATAACAAAACACCTCCAGTCTTCTGCTGGGTAACTGTGAATTTTCAAAAATTAGCAATATCTTAACACTTTCTCTTTTTTTCAGCAGGCAAATTCCTGGGCAGTTTTCTCCTGAGATAGCCACAAAAATCAAAGCCAAGCTGCACTGGGATTACACTGGATTTTTATCTCTCCCTGTCCTTAATATCTGACCTGATACAAGATCTATTTTTGCCATCATTAATAAGGTTAATATGATTCATGTAAGAACTGCAAGGAGAATAGATAAATATGTTCCTGTTTGTTTTTTAAACAAACCAAATACAGTTTAATATATGCAGAAATATTCCAAACCAGATCTTCAGGAAGACATCTAAAACAGAAAGAAATACAAACTGAGGCCCAATTTAAATAAAGAGGTACTTACTTCTGAATAAATATGAACAGGCTCAGAATGCAATATGCACATATATAAACTAGATATGGTTGGAAAATTGCATTTGATGTATTATGAGGGTGAGGGGACTTGTTCTAATTTATCTTCCTTTTTTGCATTAGAACAGTAAAAATGAAATTTAAGCCATTTAATAGGCCTATTTCAATACTAGTATTAGTGTGCATTGTTCTTCCTAGGCTCTCTATTTAATACTTCAAAGCTGGTTAAATGCTAGGGTTGAAAAAGTGAAATGGTTAAATTATTCTGTGTCTTATTGAAAAAATGCTGACATGTATCCCCTACCCCCTTTGTGTCAGTCAAATAAAGATGCTGAACAGAATTTATATCTAGTTCTATTCCATGATTAATATTTCATGCAAGAGGCAAAAATTCAGTTGACCAAGATATTACTTGATTAACAAACCATGGCACTCTTATTATGTTTGGTATAGCACCATGAGTTGAAAGCCACGTGCTTATTAGTGTGGCTTGAACACAGATGTCTTTTTGAAAGCAAAGTGAACCATTAAATACAAAAGTTAGTCCCCTGTATGCCTTTTTTTTTTTGCAATGTCATATCATTCTCTGCAAAGCCTCAAGTAATTTATTACATAGTTCACTTGGCCTAATGTGCAGATGTAACAGGTCAAGACCTTAACTTTAATTAATTTGTTTACAACTGAATTTAAAAGAGATTGCTCCCACGTGTGTGTTAGGATTTCAGCTCCATAATGTCATAGGCAGAAAGATAGAAAGCTAAATGCTTTTATAAAGCAGTCGATTTTCATCCTTATCGTCAGATTTTTTTTTCCCAAGGGAGAAATCCTCTAGGATTTACTTCTAAACTGTGTGGTACCCTTCACAACACTTCAAGCCTCTCCAGCTAACTCCACTTTGCAGCATTATGGCTTTCTGTTAAAAAGAAAAGAAACTAAAACGCAATGCCGTAATCATATTTCAGCATCTTTGACATATTGTGACACCATACACAAACCAAAATGTTTGTGTTGCATTAAGTGATGCAACAAATGTTTCAGGGGGCTAACAGCCTGATGCCACCCCATGCCTACTTGGAAAGAAGTCCCATTATGTTCATTGAGGCTTGCTTTTAGGTAAGCCCAAACAAGATTACGGTCTTATTTTTTTCCTGTTGTCCAGGACTGTACTCTAAGGCTGTATACGAGATTAAAATGCCACCAATGTCCTGCTTAAAAATCTGCATGCACCATTTATACTTTGTATTCCAACAGTGCATTTTAAACAACCTGGCCTGCAAAACCTATTTATATAATCAGTTTACTCTTGATAGTCTGATCCTATGCATGTTCCTTTCTATTCAAATCTCTCTGATTTCAATAGGCCTTTCACCTTAAAATGCATTTAGGAATACAAGCTGTGGAATCCTGCATCATTAAAACCAATGGAAGTGCTGCCAATGACCTCAATAAGAAGTTAATTCCTCTCCCCCCCCCCATTGCAATCCTGAACTCACATATTTGGAAGAAAACCGAAAATAGAAGAACTTGCTTTTCAAAGTAAACACGTCTAGAATTGGACTGCAAGACAGCAATCCCAATCATACTCACTTGGAATAATATGGTATTAAACCAGTAGGACTTTTGGAATAAAGGTGACTAGGGTTGGTAAAATTATATTCACATAGTTTTTCGAAAAGCCATATTTAGCTTTCTCCACTATATACACACACATGCAGCTAATCAGAAATAAGGGGAAGGATTTTCAATACATTTAAAGAATGCCTTATATCTTATATATCCCACTTTAAAAGCTCTGCTCAAAAAATCCCACTGGTGGATATACACACACTCATGGACGATCCCAATCAAACATGTCTGCTACATCCTTTAACATCAAACCAAGGCAGATCACTGACAGAAACTGTAGTGTGGGAGGGGGGAAAGGATACAGAAAAGAAACTATTTATTGTTCTCCACTGTGTTCTGGTAGCTGGAGGGATTATAATGAGGGCACATCTGCATCCACCTCTTTCAGTCCCAAGAGATCCTGGATAAATCTCCTGTATTCCTCCCCCGTGAAAGGCATAGCTCCAGCCGGTGCCAGGACGGGATCCCTCAAGGATCCCTGGTTGCTGCGGAGCTTCACCCTCTGCTTCCACACCAGCCCTGGCTGGGGAAACCAGACAAAGGGGAGGAGGGCCG